AAAGATATACTAAAGGCTTTTGGAACAGAATCAGAGAATTCTGGATCTGCATGGTTTCAGCAGTCATGAAATCCAACCCAAGGAAAGTCCACTGAAAGGGAATGCCCCCAGTAAGGCTTTGTCCAGCCTCTGGACTCCAATGAAGTAGGAACCATTGCTTCTTGGGGAAATCACTTCCATTTTTTGACCTAAGTATTAGGAAGTTCTTACCAACATCAGACCTCAATGGACTACTTTGCAGCTTTCACCCCTCACTCCTGGTTCTGCCCTCTGAGCCAGACAGATCAAATCTAACCCCTCATTACAAGACAGGCTTTCAAATACTTGGATAGAGTTATCATTTAAATCATCTCCAAAGAATTCCCAAAATACTTTGTGTCATGCGGATCTCAGAGGAGTGAACACATAACCTCTTAAGGTAAATAGTTTGGTGAATTTACTTACTTGGAAATAAAAGTTCACATATAAAAAGAAAAAAGGAAACCAGTCTCATGCCCTAAAAGTCATACTTCTTGCAGAGGTAGCTCAGAGGGTTGACTAGAAAAAGGAAATTACATATTTTATATCCCCTTAAGGCAGTGTTTCTTAAATAGTGTACCCTAAAGGAAATGAAGAAAAGTTCTAAGATGGTTAGTGGGATGGTCCTTGCAGTATAAACAAGTTGAAAGAGCATATCAGGACAGATAAGTAATGTACTCAGACTGGAAGCAAAAACATTAGCTCTCATGCCTACCTGAAAATACCAAGAATTACTATTTGGGATGGTAAACAGCAGGATATGCATTGCTTATTCAAAAGCTTCCCCCCCCCCCAATTAAATAAAAATACTAAAACTTTTATTGGTCTCTGTGTAACAGTCTAGAACATAGTAGGCATTTAGTAAATCTTTCCTTCCTTACTCTTTAATCTCCTTGCATTTAATTTTGATCATTTTGTATGTACATGTACATACACGCTTTCATACATACATATATACATACACGTATACACATGTTTTCTTCTCCGAAAGAATGCAAGGTGCCTTAGGGCAGTTATTGTCTTGCTTTTGTATTTGTATTCATTCCCAGCACCTAGCATGGTGCCTGGTATATAGTTGTTCAGTTGTTTGCATTGAGTCTGACTCTTTGTGACCCCATTTGGGGTTTTCTTGGAAAACATACTACAGTGGTTTGCCATTTCCTTCTCCAGTTCATTTTACAGACAAGGAAACTGAGGCAAACAGGGTTAAGTGACTTGCATATGGTCACAGAGCTATAAGTGTCTGAGATTGGATTTGAATTTGGAACATGAGTCTTCCTAACTCCAGGCCTGGCACTCTATGCACTGCGCCACCTACACTTCCCCACCTGACATATAGGCGCTTATAAATATTTGTTGATTGACAGAGGAAAGAGAGCCAGTGCTTACTGATAGCTAATATTTATTAACTACTTTAAATTTTGCAAAGCACATATGTGTATATATGTGTGTGTATATATATATATATATATATATATATATATATATATAATACATGTATATTATAATCTCATTTGAGCCTCACAATCTGGTAAAGAAAGGGCAATTATGCCTATTCTACAGATACTAAATCTGAGGCTGAAAGTGGTTAAATGACTTTCCAAGGATCATACATCTAGTAAGTGTCTGAGGTAAGATTCAATCTCGGGTCATCCTGACTCTTGAGTGTAACGCTCTTTCCATTTTGCCATGCTGCTTCTTTGGAGCCATAACGATAACAACAACAACAATAAACAATAATTTTAATAACAATAATGATATCAGCTGGTGTGTATAAAGTGCTTTGAGGTTTGCAGAGCACTTAACAAATTTTATTTTTTTGATCCTCATGACAACCCTAGGAGGTAGGTGCCATCCCATTTTACAGACTGAGAAATTCAATGACTTGCCCAAGATCACATAGCTAGTCACTGTCTGAAGTCACATTTGAATTCAGGCCTTCCTAAAACCAAGTCTAGCACTAATTGAGTCTCATGAGTTGCAGACTTTAATATTTATGACTTCAGGGTATGCAACAGGCTTATCCAACCAGGAGAGACTTGTCATTATTTGAGAAAACCCAGAACTGGATGATACAGTACTTCACCTTTTGTTGTTATTTACTCCTATTGTAATCTCACTAGAGGAAGAAATGTCCAGGAGTGTATCTAGTCTAAATTTCTTGTTGAAATGGTGATAGGTCAGTTTAAAAAACAATTGTTTGTTATATGAGATGGTTCTCTGTCGGAGTGGAGGGGTGTGGGAAAAGGATATTGGATGAAATACTGGTGATGTTGCAAAGATATCAATAATTTGTTTAAAAAAAAGAAAATGCTAAAAGGCAACGTCCTTAAAATTACATTATTATTATTTGCATTGTTGTCATCCTTAGGGTGACAGCATTTCAGAAAAAATGCCAGCTGAGAGGGTATGCTTGGCATATGGTAGACACTTGCTAAATATTTATTGATTGGTGTATTGATTGCTTGATTACAGACAGAATAGCTTTCAGTCATGGTTTCCTCTTTCAATTACACCAGGGCGTTCTTAACCTTTTTTTTTCTGTCTAGCAAAGCTTATGGACTTTCTTAGAATAATGCTTTTAAATAAAATATACAGGATTACAAAGGAAATAAATCAGTATATACTGAAATACAGTTACCAAAACATTGAAAAAAATAGTTTATAAGCCCCATGAAATCTACCCATGTATGTCTTTGGGACCTATAGACCCTAGATGAAGAATTCTTGCCGTCCTAGACCCACATAAGGAAAGGGACAGGAAGATCTTCTTTCCTTTCCCAATGTGATTTTCCAATCATAGGAATTATGATGGCTGTCACTGTTTTTTGCCATCACAGATTCCAGACTTCTCAGCTGCACCTGTAGGCAGTTATCGTGGAATCTTAAAGTTGGAAGGGGCATTGGAGGTACTCAGTCCAATATTATACATAAATCAGTTCTATAACATCTCTGGTAATTATTATTCCTAATTTTTAAAATGTGGGAAATAGGGGCAGCTAGGTGGCGAAGTGGATAGAGCACCGGCCCTGAAATCAGAAGGACCTGAGTTCAAATTCAGCCTCAGACCAAACACGTGACACTAGCTGTGTGACCCTGGGCATGTCACTTAACCCCTATTGCCTTAACAAAAAAATTGAAAAAAAAATTTTTTTAAGGGGGGAAATAGATACAAAGAAGTTAAGTGGCTTGTCCAAGCTCAAATACAGACAATAAATGTAGGTAAGCTAAATAAGAGCTATTTTAATTTAAGTGATTACAGCTTCTTAGATATTCTAGGACTGAAACTCATATCTCTGGAACACACACACACACACACACACACACACACCCATAAGACAAGAGAGAAAAAGAGAGAACACAAGTTTATATAGTGTTTGACATATACAGACACTCAGTAAATATTAGACTGAAGTTCCAGACAATCTTTTTTTCTAAGATCCAGAGTCCCAGTCCCAGTCACTGGCTTAGATTACTGAGATACCAAGGGCGTACTTGTAGCCACATGTAGTAATAGCTAGAACATTCTTAGAATTCCCATTATTTCAAATTCAAGAGGGAAGCCAATTTGTTCTTACACAAACTTTTTAACAGAATTATGTGTTCCTGGAAATATAAGCACCAGGGCATTAAATATATATATTGCTAAGGGAACTTCCACATTTGAACTCCCTACTTGAGGGTTCAGGAGTGGGGGTGGGGCAAGAATCAATGAAACAAAAAGTGATTCTTAGACCTATACGTGGAGAGCTCTCTAACAGCTCTATTTTTTGTCCTGTTTAAGAAGGCACTTGGCACAAAATTCCGTCACAGTTGTCTTATAACCAGTTATTGAAAACTAATGATGTATGAGACACAATTAAGATTGAACTCAAGAGAAATACAATTGCTGACTGAAAATTGCCAAGGACTAAGGTTAAAATGGTATACTTCAAATTCATTTCAATTCTTCTAAGCAAGTGAAAACTGCGTAGTAATCCCCTTCATAACTCTTACTCTTCCTCCCATCTCATCTTCTCTCCCTCTCTTCTTCTGGGAGATTGCGTGGGGAAGGAGATGTGGATTGGTCCAAGAATAGAAAGTGTTGACTGTCCTGCTCTAAGTGCTTTTACTAAAAGGTTGCTGACTGAAAGCTGGGGTAGGAGTCAAAGTAGGGGGATAGAATAGAAAAAAGAATCAACTCTTATCCCACAACCCTCTAGCTTCCCTTTTGGTTGTGGTTACTGGGTTATTTCTTGCAGTTGTTCAGTGTAAAAGATGATGATTTATTGTCTACTCTATTTACCATACTTACTTCTACTTACCATAGAAACGAAAATGTCATTTTCCAATCAAAGCCCAGAGAAATTTCCATGGTTTACTGATCCTGTTACAAACAATTATACTAAAATGGCAATTATCTGGCACCCATAGTTTCAAATACCCATTAAAAAAAAATCTGGTAGCTCTAACAGAGCATTGCAATAAAAGGAAAACATGTGTTTTAGTAACTGTGGACAGCTACATTTCAAAGCACATCTAATATATATCAGATCTGCCCTGTGGCATCGCCTTTATAGCCAAATAGACAATTATTCAACAGCTTTGAAGAAACATTAAAAATGTTCCAGGATGCTACCCCGAACACAATTCAACTACAGTATTGAGGAAGAAAAGGGTTTCCAAACATCAGAGCTCTGGTTCTTAAAACCTATTCTCCCTCTGTCTACTTAGGGAGATCAGCGGAGAAGAAGCCACTTCCTTGTCAATTTAAACCTGGAGGCTGTGGGACGGGTTAGATGTGGTCCCTGTTTAAAGAGTTCAAACTTTCTTTCTTGGGATTTCCAGTGGCACTATTCGAATACGCAAGATACTTTATATTCGTTTGTTTTTGGTCAACTTAGTAAGGTTAAACTTTTTTTTTAAGTACTTTATAGGAAATCTAGCCCTGAGTCTGTTACCTCCACAGCTTCATATAGCCGCGTTAGGCAAGGTCTTCCTACCTGGGCTGGCTCGGGGTACTCCACCTGCAGACTGGTCTCTAGAGGAACCGTCCCGTTCAGAGGCACTGCCTCATCGGGGTTTCGTTGGAGCCTGGAGAGTTCAATCATAGCATCAGCCGGGCGCCGGCAGTCTCCTCCACCCAGTGAGAGAGCAAAGGAAAGCTAAGGCCAGGCGGCGGCAGAGCAAGAGACCCCAAGAAAACTGAAGTCTCCGGCCGGAGGTCCGGCACTCACCTGTGCAGGTTCCCTCCCACCCCGCCCATGAAGAGTGACGTGTTGGAGGACGGGTGTGAGCAAGGCTGGGAGGGGCGAGTCATACAGACGAAACCTGGGGCCAAAGTCTCTGTCTTGGGAACTAAACCCGGGGCCACAGTCTCTGTCTCGGGAACTTTTACTGTGCCCATCCTGGTGAAGGGAGAGCTTGAAGATGTCGCCTCCTCCCGAGGACTATTTTTCTGGTTTTCTCAATGTGCCCCTAGCTCCAACCTAAGCCTGGACAGTCAGATTACCCGCCTGAACAGGCAGAGGGAAAGGCCTGGCGATGCTGAAAGAACCAGAAAAACTGCCCTGAGCAGAAGGAATCTGAATGTTTGTCTTCCTAAGGTAGGGTCACGGCATTCTGTAACTATGGACTTTGGCTTCATTTTGTCCCGTTGACAGTCTTTGTCAAGCAGTAATCAACAAGCACTTATGAAGCACCTACTATATGCCCAGAACTGGGCTAGGTGTTAGAGATAACAAAGATAAAATTCTCGATTACGTTTATCAGGCTTAACAACATACACACGTGTAACCATATGAGAGATAGGAACTGGATCTGCGATTTAATTGGCACAGGGAACTTCTATTTGAGGAAAGTCTTGCAACTAATGCAGGTTAGCGTCTTCTCAGCAACATACGGGTCTGAGAGAGTTAGGTAGGACAGACACTGAGCATTTAAGTGACTTGTAGTCACACAACCAATTTGTATTAAGTGGAACTTGAACTCAGGACTTTTTGAGGCTGAGGTTTATGCTTTCTATTCACTAAGGTACACTGCCTTTGCGAAGCATATATAAAGTTAGGTTTTGAAGAGAAGGCACCAACAGCAGCTGGGGTGATCAGAAAGGGCTTTATGTAGAAGCTAGCATTTCAGTCGGCCTTTAAAGGAAAGGAGGGATTCCAAGAGGCAGAGAAATGAGAAGGGAGTGACTACCTGGTGTGGGGAGGCAGTGTGTGCAAAGACATGGAAATAGCGTTGCAGTGTATAAGGAACTGATAAAAGGTCATTTTGATCCCAGTCTATAAAGGGGAATAATGTATATTGAAGCTGGAAAGGTCTGTTGAGGCAGATTATGAAGGGCTTTAAATGCCAAAAAGAGGAGTAGAGACAGTAGGGATTCACATAGTGACTGACATAGTGCAATCTATACTTTAGGAAAATCACTGACAGCCATATGAAGGATAAATTAGAATGGGGAAAGGCTTGAGGCAAGGCCACGGATTAGGAGACTATTGAAATAGTGTAGGCCAGCTATGATGAGGATTTGAACTGGAGAGACTGTCTTATGGGTGGAGAGAAGGGGACTAATGTGAGAGTTGTTATGTAGAAATGGTTTGGGTATGTGGGACCAGGGAGATCCAGGAATCAAGTATGACTCCAAGGGGGTCAACCTGGATGACCCTTGACTGCATGCTTATGTGGTAACCCTGATATGTATATAGTAATGTTCAAAAGATCTCACTTAGAGATCATCCAATTTAAGGGAGAAGGTAATGAGTTCTGCTTTGGATGTAGTTGAACAGGACAACCAGTTTGAAATGTCTAATAAGTAGTTTGTGATGCAGAATGGGACTTTAAGAGAGATTGGGACTAAATATATATAGAACTAGAGTCATCTACATAAAAGTAATTATTTTACTATGGGAGGTGGTGGTGCCACTGAAAGAGAGTGCTATATTTACACATAGAGAGAAAAGGGCCCAGGACAGAGCCTTGGGGTACACCCTCAGTTCGATGTGAAGCTCAAATTCTACTTTAGATGGTATGCTCAGTAAGTGGGTAGGGCAGCCTGGCACAGATACTGCCCTGCCTTGCTCTCTACCCACTCAGTACTTCTGCTCCAGACAGGAATGCTTTTATCTCCAGCAGTGGGGTAAGGTCCACCTATATTCTGACTTCACTTCTGTCCCTGGGTGGGTGGCATAGGAAGCCTGGATGATGAAGCCACGGCCATATCAATAAATCCAAAATCAATAAATTCCAGTCCCCTCACCAATGCCTTACACTCAGTTCCCCAATCTCGACTCTTCCTCACCTTGGTTTAAGGTCGTTGTTAAGTCAAGGGAATGTTTTTTTCTTTTTTTCCAAATTTCTTGAAGCTTAAGGTATTGATAGATTAAGCAATACTCCAACAAGTCAGTCTGAGTTCAAATCTGGCCTCAGACACTGAAACACTGCTGTACTTTAGTCAGATCATTTGTATCCTATCACTGAGGATGGGAGTTTAATGTCATAGATGTGGGTCTCATAGAGAAAAAAAAGGGCGGCGCTAGAAAAATGGGAAAAGGTCAAATTTCTTCTGGCTATCTTCTAGCTAGGATGTGATGCCACAGGCCTACTACAGGCCTACAGGTTTTCTGATGCTACTACCTCTCCCAATTTGGATTCTTTGATTCTCAACTTTGCCTGCAACCTTTCCCTTCTCATTTGTTAAAGATGCCTAAGCATTCCTTAATACTTGGGTATCATTGATATGTCAGGCTACCCAGGAGTCTAAATTTCCTCTTTCACCCTCAGTTTCGATCACCATGAGCCTATTTAAAGTCCTTTCCTTGCTCTGGCTCCCTGGTAAATACCCTTCTCTATCCGATTGCTATATATTCTTTTCCCAGGCTTCAGTCCATCTGGAAACTGACCAGCTTTGAGCTCAATATAAATAACTCTGATAGGATATACCAAATGCCAACAATGGAAGATGATTTTAAGAATAGTATGGTTACAGCCAGTTGTCATATTAGGGAATTCCATGTATTAAAAACCATTGTCAGAGACTAAGAATTTATAGTACTTAAGATACAGGATAGCCCTTCTAGATACCAGGTTTAAAAAGAAATTTTTGCCTCAACAGTAAATGATTCTATAGTGTTCTTCATTAACACTCATATTTATATAATGGCTTAAGTTGAAATTAACAGAACAATTTAAAATAAGCATGGTAAAGTGAAACAAGGTCTAGATTGAAGGTCAGGAGATGTGCCTTTTCCCTTTTCCCCTTCTAAGGCATTGTGTGACCTTGGACAATTCACTCTGAGGCCCTCTCTGAGCTTTACTTTCCTCATTGGAAAAATGAGGAGTTAGATCATATGACTCAAGATCCGGAGGGCACCACCCTTAGAAAGTCTCTCTGTATGCTTTCTTATTTGCCATATTCTACTTTTCTAGGTATATTCTTTGGGATCATTTCTTACTTACCTTTCTATCTGCCCTGGCACCCAATATAATACATTTGTTCTTGCTCAGTAGTGTCCAGCTCTTTATGACTCCATTTGGAATTTTCTTGACAAAGATACTGGAGTGGTTTGCCATTTCCTTCGCTAGCTCATTTGACAGATGAGGAAACCAAGAAAAATAGTATTAAGTGACTTGCCCAGGGTTGCATAGCTAGTTAGTGTCTGAGGCCAGATTTGAACTCAGGTTTTCGTGACTCCAGGGCACTTTATCCACTGTACCACCTAGCTACCCCATTCTATACATAGTAGGTATTTAATAAAATATCTGCTGAATGAACAAATAGATGAATCTTGTTGCTGCCCAAGCCCCAGCAATGAAAGATCCTATTAATGACTGTGCCTAATGAAAGATCCAATTAAGAACACCAGAGGCTCTTTTCCTTAAGCCAGCTGACCAAGATACCCATCTTAAGAATTTAGTTACACACCTGTAATTTAGAGAAAGAAGCCTTGTTCCTGTCCTGATTTCATCTTTGGTGGTTCCTTAGCTAAACCTAGTAACCTAGTCTGAGGAGTATTGCCCTGGACAATAAGACTCACCCCATTTGCATACCTTTTCCCTTAGATGTATGCCAAATCTATTCCCCATGAGTCATGGGGACTTTGTGGAAACCCCCCAGAATCCCCTAACCCTTTCCATGCAACCCCCTCTCCGTGCCACATGAGCTCCATAAACCAGATCCATAAATGCTTCCAGAGTTCTATAAACAAAGCCTTTCTGTCTTCTCTGAGCTCTGTAAACCAGGCCCTGAAATGTACCCACAACTCCATAAATACAACCCAACAATATCAGATTTACATCTCTTTGTTTTGATTACTGATGCTAAATGGAGCTGGTCTATAAACCTGGATTCCTAATCTCTTTCTTGTTCCTAATCACTAGCATTTATTTGATTTTCCCAATTTTTCTTGCCTTGTCACTAGTGAAGAAATCCATATCCAGCTACCATTCTCAAGCTCAGTGTGATGGGGCAGAGGAGGAGGGGAATCTAACTCCAAGAAAAAGATCCAGAGTGAATTAGAAGGAAGCATTCTACACTAGCATAGAGAAACACCAGTGTTAAGAGCAGGCAGTCAGATTATTTACTAATGTCAGTGACAATCTAATCTAATCCTGCCTTTTCTCCACATTAGAAAAGGATTATTTGCTAAAATCAATGACTACCTAATCCATCTCTGGTTTTTCTCCATGCTAGAACTGAATACTTCTTTTAAAAATTATATTTATATATATATGTATATGTGTGTGTATACATATGGCATATGTATATTCGTTTTTTGTTTAGATATTTATTAATTTATCTATTTTTCACCCACCCATTATTCTTTTATTTATTTGTTTGTTTATTAATAAAACTGAGTCTCCTCATTTTGCCCAGGCTGGAAATTCAAAGGCAATTCATAGGCTTTATACTACTCTGGCTGGCATGGAAGTTTTGACCTCTCCATTTCCAACCTGAGGTTAACAACCTTGTGGAATCACGTTCCAGAAGGCTCACCATATTAATGCCAAATTGAGCTCAGAAACTTGATTTTTCTTTTATAGGGTACCTTATTGTAAAATTTGGATTAAGTATTTGGCCATAGGCCATATGTAGTTAAGCTAATGTTAAGTTAAAAAAAAATACTGTGTGAAAAGGAAATAAAGAAATACAAAATAATATGAACATTTTAAAAAAAGAAACAAATTTGAGAATACTGAACATACTACATGTATAACAAAAGATATTTTAAAAACATAACCTTTGAAATTCCCTACTGGTATTCACCATCAGCCTGTGGTACATCTCTATCATCTAACTTGAAATGAAGAAGCTGAATGCTGGTTGATGATGGTGATGACAAAAGCTCATGACCACATACATTCATGTGTCAGACATACAATTCTTGCTGTATAGTTAAGACACACATATACAGGCATAACACACCTCTAACTTATTTGTCATACTGTATACTATATATGACACCTTATATACTATGACTAACCTATTATTAATATCATCACTAAATTAATATGAATTTATTAACTGTACAGCATTCTTGTCACGGAGGTGGATCATCATAGAGCTCTTCATCATCGTCTTCTGTGGCCGGAAAGAAAGAGAATGGGCAGGAGTGGTAGGGGTTGATGGAGTGGGTGGAGTGACACCAGAGGTGGAAGGAGTGGGTTCCAAAGGGATACTGGGTTTTAACTTCAGGAAATACTGCATATCAGGGCTGTCTTTATTATGAACCCCATGACATTGGCACAAAAGAGCGGGTTATCTCTATCCCTTGTGTTTTTAAAACCTGGGGTTCACTTCTCTTCTTGGTTGATGTATGTCCTCTGAGGCATTTTTTTCCTCCAATTATAGAACAGGTTCTTTAGCACTGAATATCTATCTATTCCATAGATATTCCCTAACCTTTCTTTTCAATTACTTTGTTCAGGGTTTCAGGAAACTCCCTAGCTGCCTTTTGATAGGCAGATGCTGCCTCTCCCAATTACTTTTGCATTGTGTAGAGTAAACCACTGTAAAAAAATTTTCAAACCAGCCTTTGCTGTCCTGAATAGCTGTAGGTATAGACTCTTCACCTTCATTTTCCTTGAGGAAATGAAATAAAAATGTAGCCTTTTCTCATATAATGCCAGAGTCTATCAGAATGCCTTATTTATAACAATCCTGCACCCAAAAGAATGTTACACTTTCTATATGAGAGAGAAATGTGGATCTCATGGTTCATGCAAATGTTTTGCAAATGTTGGCGTTGCTGCAGTACAGATTTTCTTCTCTTTTTTATCTTAATATGCCTTATGGTCAACTCTTTAATTCCTTAAATAAGGCGGTGACCACAGCAGTTGTTTTGCCTGAAAGAAGCACATCTAACAATTCTACTTTTTTCCTTCAAGTTCATCTCTTTCCTCTGTTTCTTGGGAGCAGTTTCCAAACCATTAGGAATATTATACTTGGGACCCATGATTTTAATAGACATTTAATTTAATAGTTGTTTAAATGATGCAAGATACAAGAAACTCAAGATACAAAGATCACCACCAGATCACCATAAGATGCCGCATGAGAGATTGCCACAAACAGGCTTGGCATCCCCAAATCAGTGCATAGAACCATACAAATTTAATTTTAAGGGAAAAAATGCATAGCTGTTCATTTATGTTATTAAACAGTAAAATACATACTGTATAGATAATATTATATATAACAGTATATACATTTCATGCATTTATGAGTTAATAAACTTTTTGAGATATCTGTACATTTTTAGCCTTTGTCATCTTCTGGCTTTTACATTCTTTTCATAAACTTTAACTTTTATTTTAACTCTGAAAAAGAAATTGTGTATATTTATATGATTAAAAGATAAAATATGTTGACATTATACAATGCTATACATGTATTTTATGCATTTCTGAGTTTCTAAACTTTTTCTGTTGGCCTTCTCGTGTCATCTGCAGCTTTCATACAACTCCCCCCCAAATTCCCATTTAATTTCTTATGCCTACGTTTTATATTGAAACCATGATGGGGAAAGTCACAATGTGGAAGGGATAATTGTAATTGTATTGGGATTCACAGGTTGGTAAGTAAGCAGAGGGCATTTGAGAGAATACCCCATGGCCCAGTGTGGCCATTTGGGGGGGGGCTAGTCAATGGGGTAAAGTGAGTGTGGACATTTTTTCAGTGTTTGAAGTAGGAGGGGAAATAATAGGGTCATAGATTTAGAGCTGGAAGAGATTTTAGAGGTGCTGGTCTTATAAACAATAAGACCTTGGTTCAGGTTCCACTTCTGGTACTAGCTTTGTGATCATGGGCGAATCGTATAACTTTTCTGAGTGTCAGTCTTCTCTTCTGTATGATGGGGTAATTTCTCTATTACCTCACAAGGCTATTTTGAGGCTCTAAAGAGTGTTTTATACGTACAAAATGCATGTGCGTATGTATGTGTTATTGTTGTTCAGTCATGTATGACTCTTTGTGACCCCATTTGGGATTTTTCTTGGCAAAGATCTTGGAATGGTTTGCCATTTTGTTCTACAACTCATTTGACAGATGAGGAACTGAGGCAAACAGGGTTAAGTGACTTGCCAAGGGGGCAGCTAGATGGCGGCCCTGAAGTCAGGAGGACCTGAGTTCAAATCCAGCCCCAGACACTTGACACTTACTAGCTGTGTGACCCTGGGCAAGTCACTTAACCCCAATGCCTAGCCAAAAAAAAAGTGACTTGCCCAGGGTCACATAGCTATTAGATATCTGAGGCTGGATTTGAACTCAGGTCTTCCTGACTCCAGGCCCAGCACTTTAACCTCTGTACCACCTAGCTGCCCTATGTATGTATACATATACATACACATGTAAGTATACATATGCCTAAGCATATACATATTTATATGTGTTGTTTGTCCTTCCTTTATAAGAGGACCAATGACATCATGTGGTGATATTGACTTGTGCATGAATTGGATTTAAGTGAGATAGATTTCTACAAAGTCCTCCCCCTTAATCTCTCCTTCAGAGTCATCAAAGACCAGTGGCAAGACAAAAGTCAAGATGACTGGCGATGGCCAAGATACAGTGGATGACCTTGGCATCTCTGATGTCTAACCAAATTCTAAGTGCTCTGCAGCACTTACTTCGGCTGCCTTCATGGACATTGGAACAAATTACTATCTGCCCATTCCACTGGGGGAGTCTTCACTTGCTTGGGATAGACATCCCCCTAACTCACCAATGGATTTGAGACCTGTCAGTCACCCTCTACGTGGTTTAGCCCATCTGTCATGACGATTTTACTGGGGTGTGGCTGCTGCACATGCTCCAGCTCTTGGAGCCACAGGTAAAAGTTAGATGAAGGTGGACACCGAAGGTGGATAAGCAACCCTGAAAAGGCTCGGCAGCCTTCATCCCAGAGGTGCTTGTCCTCCCTGAATATCCCATACAACCCTATGTATATATACATGACTATGTATGACATATGTGTATGTACATATACATGTGCATTTTATGTACAGCACTTTGGTAAGTTAAAAGTGCCATGTAAATGTTAGTTACCATCATTATTTTGACACGTGAGGAAACTCAAGCTAAGAGAGGTTAAGTGACATGGTCATGAGGCAGTAAATGGCAGAGCTAAGACTCAAACCCCAGTCCTCTAGTTCTAAATTCAACAATCACCATGTTAGGCCTAGAGAACTTCTAGTTGCCTGATATCATAGGAATGTCCAGTGTGCTCCAGTTTTGTCCTTGGCTTAGTCCACAAAATGATCCAGACCATATCAAGATTTTCTTTGACTTCTCTGGATAGTCGTCCTAACAATCCAGTTATTCTACATGCATTTATGTGTATGGGGATGACTGTAGAAATAGTCTTAAAATAGCAAATGGACAACATGATAACATTAAGACTCTTAAGTTCAATGAATGAACCTTAGACTATATCTACTACACATTATAGGTAAAAATGATCCAGAGTCATTGATCTGTGTCAGACCAGTTTTTCAAGGTTTGTCTATATAGTGAAAGTTTATATCTACATGTTGGAAATACCGGTTTTTCCCATTTGTGGAGTAAGTGGCTCATTTGCCTGACTGATTCATGCTGTGATACAGTCACTTTCATAGATATATGGAGTTTATCATTAAGATGTATTGCTCTCAATAGTGGGAAGCGTATAAAATAGTAAACTAGAAAATGCCCCATGAATATAGCAGGCACTTAATAATAAGTACTTATTGAATGATAAGGAAACTGAGCCCTAAAGAGGTCAACTGAGTTCTCTAAAGTGGTGAAGTGAGTTTACTAGAAGAATGAAGACTAGAATACAGCTACCCCACCTCCCAGTTTAATGGTATTTTGGCTCACTACCCACACCAGAGACTATGTACCAGAGGCATTTTTACCCTCAGGCCCCAGCTCACCTGTTTGGTGACTGCCTCTCACAGAACATTATTTCAGCCTAGCCCCAACCATATTTCACTTCCTCCTCTCCAACCACTTTCTCCACAACCTCCTTTACCAAGCCAAGGCTCTTCCTCTAGCGCTGGGATTCACACTTTTAAAGTATCATGCACCCCTCCGGCCTTACTCTCTTATTGGATGGTTCCACCCACAACCTTTATTTAAGGAGGGCTCCCAGGACAACTATCTCTTCATTTCTCACCAGGCTACACCCTAGGCTTTCCCTACCACACTCCCTTTACCTGGTAACTTTCTTTCCCCCTACTCCAACCCCTTTTCAGTTTCCTTTTTTATACTGTCTTCCCCCATTAGAATATTAAGCCCTTTGAGGGTAAGGATTGACTTTCTATTTATATTCATATTACCAGCACTCAGTACATGCCTGGAATTCACTAAGAACTTGGCACAATACCTAGAACATAGTAAGCACTTAATAAATGCTTGTTAACTGACTGACTTCCTGACAAGTTACTGCCCCTTACCCATTCACCTACCCACTCACTCCCTAGGTCAGAAACCATGAACTGTGGTCAAATCAACTATATTATTGTTCCTGAAGGGGATGTGCAACTATTTTGACTAGTTCTACTATAAATTTATGTTACATAACATCAATGGGCCCTCTATGCTGTTCTACACCTCCTTAATGAGGAGTAGAACTCACCATAGCAGGACTTCCAAACCTTTTCATTACTCCTCAAACCTTCCATCACTTTTCTTCTCCTCACCCTCTCAACTGAATACCTTGCTGCATATTTTACTGAAAGAATTAAAGCTTTTCACCAAGAACTCCTTCTTCTCTCCTCCCCCTCATCTCATATCACACAGATGCTTTCTGCTATTACCTCCTCCTTCACCTTAGTCTCACATGAAGAGGTAGCTTTACTCCTTACCAAGGCCAAGCTCCTTATCCTGTGCGTGAGATCTCATTCTATCCCATCTCTTCCAGCAAATTGCACTCTCTCTTACTCTCACCCTATTACTTAACTTCAGTCTCTCACTGTCTATTAGCTGTTTTATAATGCCTACATATATGCCAATGTGTCCCTCATCCTCAAAAAACCTTTACTTGATCTTTCCATCCCCACTAGATATCATGCCATCTCTCTCCCTCCTTTTGTGGCTAAACTCCTTGAAAAGGCTTTCTATAATAGGTGCCTTTACTTCATCTTCTTTCACCTTTTCCTAACTTTATACAATTTGGCTTCTGACCTTATCATTCAGCAAAACAAGACAGAGGGAACAAAACATGTGTAAGGGGCTATGCAGCACAACACTAAGCCTGAGGGAAAGAATTCAGAATCCAGCTGAGGCCAATTATGTACCCACAAAAGTTATTGGGGGCAGAACAGTGGGTTGGTGAACAATGGATTGCCCATTATGGGTGGAGGTAGAGATACCCTGAGATCCAGTCTCAAGGGGAAACATCATGAGAGTGGAAGGAGTCAGAATGTGAGCAGTAGGGTGAGGGAGAGAATAGAATTTCCAAAGATCTCTAGAGGAAGAAAAATCAAAGAGCTTGAGCATAACTAGATGATAAACAAATGCTAAGGGAAAACACTAAGAGCAGGGGGGAAAATGGCCTCCATATCTAGTAAACAAGGCCTCTATGAATAAATATAGCAAAACAAAGGAAAATGAATCAACATTTGATGAGACAGAGGACCCTGTGGAACATGAGGAGAACATGGAACCACAACCCACTAATTATGAGTGGTCTAAACAAGAAATGAGAATTATTAGAGCAGAATTTATGGCTTTCATAGCAGAAATAATGGCAGAAAAATAGACTTAAATTTGTAATGGCATACACAAAAGAAACAAAAAGGAACAACTGATTAGGAATGCACGTACACAGAAGTGAAGGATAATCTAGGAGAAGAGCGAAAAACAATAATGTGGAAAAGAAAATATACTCCCTATTGAAGCAAAACATATTGTTTTTAAAGAAAAGATATATAAACCTCATTTAAGGATTATCGGTCTCCCAGAAGAACATAAGAAGTCCAAAAGCCTGGATGACAGATTGCTAGAAATAATAGAAGAAAACTGCCCAGAACTTGTGAACACAGAAATGGAAATAGCAATTGAAAGAAAGCATAGATTTCCTCCAGAAAAAAAGCCCAAGTCTGCAAACACTAAGATATATGGTGGTGAAATTTAACAATTCAGTTCAGAAACAACAAATTCTACAAGTGAGCAGAAGAAAGACCTTTAAATACAAAGGAAAGGAAATTAGAATGATACAAAATTTATTCTGCATCCACCAGAAAACATGGGAGGCAATGGAATAATACATTCCAAAGAACAGTGGAACTGAGGGTGTAGGTTGAGAGTGGGGAACCTGCAGCCTTGAGGCCACTTGTGGCCTTCTAGGTCCTTGGGTGTGACCTTTTGACTGATTCCAAGTTTTACAGAACAAATCCTTTTATTAAGGGAATTTGTTCTGTGAAGTTTGGATTCAGGCAAAGGGCCACACTTGAGGATCTAGAGGTCCGTATGTGGCTCCAAGCCATAGATTCCCCACCCCTGGTATAGGCCATGGTGAACTACCCTATAAATCTGAGTTTAACCATAAATGAAAAAAGATGAATGTTCAGTAATATGGAGATATTCAAAATATTTTTAGAAAGAAAAGCCAGCCTAAAGAGATTATTTGCTTTTTTGGACATCTCAGACAACAGAAATTCAGGAGAGATAAATGAATGCAGCAGCCAAGAACAGCAGCAGTAACAGATTGACAGCAGAGAAATTAGTAAGAGACTTCTTTCTAAATGTATACAAAGAGAGAGGGTGAAGGCTGAAGTCAGGTGGAGGTAGGTGGCCCTAGGGCATGATGGGAAGAATGTCACAATACTTCACCCACAGATGAATCAATGTCTTTTGTCTGCATTACTCAATGGGAGGGTGCATGGAAGCAGGGAGGAGAGAAGGGTGATGGAAGGGAGTCTGTGATGTGCCTAGGTCAAATCGAGGGCTAGCAGCCAGGGGAGTGTGATCCCTGTGGACTTCCAGGAGAAGAAGAACCTACAGGTGAGAAAGAGGGGTGCGGGAGAAATTAGAAAGGCAAAAGAGGGAGGCCTTGTTTTGATGGTGAAAGGGAGCTCCACAGTTGAACGCTCCTGTGGGTAAAGAGATGTTCTGTGAAGGGAGATGGGGACTATATACTGGGTATTGTCTGTGGGGGTTTGGCGCTTGGAAAGGCCATTTGATCTGCCTCCAGAGGGAGGGAGCTAGAACTCCTGGGGGCAACTGGAGCCTGGGAGAGCAGGAGGAGAAGGCCCAAATAGTAAATTTTGAGGAAAATAAGGAAGAATTTACCAAGGGGAGGGTATAGGTCAGAGGTAGGCCGCATAATCAGAGGTATGGGGTGGAGAGGTCCTGAACAGTGCCCTCTCTGTCATCTGCAGGAATTGATATTTTTCTGGGAGGGAGTCACAATGAAAAAGAGAAATTAATGGGACAAGCTCTACAAGGCCTGAGAAAGAACTGCTTAAAATTTATTATGTATCAAGTAATGGATGCCTCAGAAGTTTGTACTCCATAAGAAATGTAGAGAATATAGAAAGACTAAATAAGTATGGGGTCATGAACCAGAGAAGGAGAGTCCAGAGTAGACAGAGATGATGGAAAAGAAACAGAGTAAAGGAGAGAAATCCTGGCTGAAAAGATGTACAAATTTAAAATTTAGAATTTAAAAATAATGAATAGGACTAGTTAAAGGGAAGGAGAGGAAGGGCACATCTACCTGACCAAGAGGAAAGGGGGTTGGGTAGAATCAAATAATAAGATAAAATCAGGAAAGGCAAAGGGGCTGATAATCAACTCCGAAGAGAAAGGATAACAAATGGGTAGGAAGGATTGAGGATAAGGAAAAGAGAGCCAGTGGGAATAGGGAGAAAGAAAAAAGAAGAAAGAAAGAAAGAAAGAAAGAAAGAAAGAAAGAAAGAAAGAAAGAAAGAAAGAAAGAAAGAAAGAAAGAAAGAAAGAAAGAAAGAAAGAAAGAAAGAAAGAAAGAAAGAAGAAAGAAGGAAGGAAGAAAGAAAGAAAGAAAGAAAGAAAGATTAAAATATATTAACTGAAGAGATATAGTGCTTTATTTACAGCAAATGAGAGGAAAACTGTAACTTGAAAAAATATTCAACAAATGGAAGAAAATAAAGCCTAATTCTCATAACTTTAAATGTGAAAGGATTAAATAATCTAATAAAATGAAAAAAGTGATAGGATGAAAAACCTCTATAATCCATTGTTTACAAAAAAAACATTTAAAAAGCAAAGACATATAAAAAATAAAACTGAAGGGATAGAAAAAAAGTTTACTATGCATGAAGAAAATCCAAAAAATTAGGAGATGCAATCATGCTAATGTGAAAAATTAAACATAAACATTAAAAAAAAAAGGTGCCAACAAGGAAATTATGTTATGCTGAAAGGAACCTTAGACGGCAAACCAGTATCAGTTATACGTTTATACACTTTAAATGCCTTAGCGTCCAAGTTCATAAAGGAA